CATCATACACTCGCGTCGCCGCGGGTATACACATGAGGGGGAGAGAGAGAGGGCCCCCCCCCCCTCCTCCTCCTCCGCGGCCGCGGGGCTCCAAGACGCAGAGGTGCGCTCCGCGGCTCGGCTCCGCTCCCGGGCCCCATACGAGTCGAGCCTTAGGGGACGTGCCGAGCCGTGCCGAGCCGGCCGCCGAGCCGAGCCGGGGCCGGGGGCCCGGGCGTGCAGCGGTACGCCCCAGAGAGGTGCAGAGACGGCGGCGCTGGGTTCGCCGCACCTGCTAGTCGCAGCGCGGTGGTGGATGCCGACGGAGCCTTCCCCCGTCGGACCGGTATACACGCGAGCCAGAGAGAACCACACACACGTGTGTGTGAGCGTGTTGTGCGTGCGTCCACGTGTAACGACGACGACGTCGACGTCGACGGCGTCCTGGTCCTGGTGGTGCGCGCGTCGCGACCGACACAACTCGATGCCCGCCGCGGCGACGTCGCCCGGGTGACGTCGCGCGGGTGTGCGGGGGGCGGCGACGACGAGGACGCTCGCGGCCGGGGGGACCCGAGACGACCCGAAGAGAGGTTGTGTGTGATCGCCGTGACGCCGAAGACACAGAGCTGAGCTGAGCTGAGCGCGCGCGCGGCCCGCGGCGGTGGCGACGACGTGCCGCCGTTTCATCATCATATCGCCGAAGGGCGGCGAGCGGTGCGGAGCGGAGCGGCGCGGGTCACGAGAGGGCCAACCGAACCGTCGAATGATTGTGAAAAGTGAGGAGGAGGAGGAGCCGCAGTATAATAGTGTGGTGTGTAGTGAGTGAGATGTCGTGGGTGTGAGAGAGTGTTGTTTACGTGCGAGTGCGTGTGTGTGTGTGTGAAGTTAGGAGTGCGCGGTGTGCGCTGCCGCTGTTGCTGCCCCTGCCGTTGTCGGCCGGAAGAACCTGTGCCGTGTTGCTGTTGTTGTTGCTGTTGTTGTTGTTCTGGTGTCACCTTGACACCCCAGCGCGCGCGCGCGCGTACACCGTGTGCTGCCCATATAGTGCCTCCTCTTTGTGGATTACCTTTTACCTCGGTGCTGCCGCCGCTGCTGGAGCTAGCTGCTGGTGCTGCGCGGGCCGACGAGCAATGTGAGTATCTCTCATCGTATAGAAGCTTCTCTCCACCCGCGCACCTCCGCGGGCGGTCCGATATGGCTCTCTGGCGCCGCCGGGTTAAGCGCCAGGCTAGCCCCCCCCCCCCCCCCTTCCTGCTGATGGGTGAGTACATTGTGTCAAATAGGCGTGCGCGCACTATTTGTTGGTGTCTTTTCCTTAATTATCTTCTTCTTTTTTTTTTCGAAG